TAATGCTTGGTTTTGTGTTTAAGAGAGCTCTTGATAAGGAAATTTATGGGCTTCTTATTTATTTCTTTACTTTCAAATTAGACATGTTCATTGATGACCTGTGATAAGAAGAAGGATATTGTTAGCTATTTTTCCACAGAAACCGTAAAAATCTATGCACCATGTAAAACCCATTCCCTTCCTGAAGGAGAATGGATGATAAAGTCACAATGCTTTTCCCAAGAGCTCTCCTCATTCTTGGCTGTGTTCAGAGTTGCTGTTGTAACATTGTTCAGCCTTTGCCCTAGACATCCAGGAAAGCACTTTATTTCCCACTGTAATTAAATACAGTGACATGCTACTTGCTGAATCAATCAGGCAAACTTCCTTATTTTTTTCAGAATGATTAACTTGTTGGTGGAACTTCTCAGGAAACTACCTTCCTGTTTTAATAGATGAAGTAAGACTATCCTGAGATCAGTCCTTTCTCTGTCTTGGATGTATTGTCTTGCTCAGTTACTTGACATTGGGATTAGGGGACAAAGAAATGGCTCAGTGATTTAGGAAGTCTCCTTTTTCAAGTTCATCATAAAAGTGCTTAGATAATAAAGGAGTTGAGCATTCTTTGGAAAGGTCTGTGAAATGACTACTTGATAGTCATTATTGCTTGTACAGTACTTGCGTGGACTTTAGGAGCTTTAAACTACACAACTATGCAGTAAAAGTCCTAAATATACCCAGTGTTTAATAGTGTCTTTACAAGGGCCTATATAATATTCATGAGAGCCATTCATGTTCTTGATATTTCCTGCACCTCTTCACTATCAGACTGCCAAGCTACAATAATTGTAACGTATTTGCTAATCTGTCTTCTAATGAATAGACCTTAAGAGATGTTCTAGATTTTGCGGTGGCATGTGTTCTCAATAGCAAAATGATGTAGCACAGCCTGCAGTACTGACCAGACACAATGCTGTGAAGGCACAATTCAGTTTGCAGCAACAGAAGTCTGAGTTCTGACTGTATGTGGAAGAGAACAGGCTCAGAAAAAGGCTAGAAAATGACAGGATCATGCCCATGAGGAGACCTGTGTAACAAATAATGAAGAAGAAAGTTACAGAAGGTTAAAAGCTGAATCATAAGATGCCTTAACTGTGAATATTAGGGACTACTGTTTTATACTATTTTTGCATAATATCGGTCTTCTCTTCCTGTCTTACATTTTGTACATCTTGGTTCTGATTTCTAGATCTTTCTTTTCCTTGAGTCATTCAGTCTTAGGATCTATCTTGTAGTTTCTAACATGTGATGAAGTATCTGACATTTCTAAAAGCATTCTAGTCTGTTTCTTCAGCATTAGATGCATTATTTAACCCTTGGATATCAGATTTGGAGATCTAATCACACAATGGTAACTTGCATGCAGACTTTTGTATTTTCATAGCAGGTTAACTGCTCATGGCAATGAGTGTGAGCCCATAAACGTTCTGTATTCCAGAAACTGCTTACATATGGGACTGAAAATGTAGGCAATAGTAATAAATTATTATTAATTACTTCAAGAATAATTTTTTATGCCTTTCAAATATTTCTTTGAAATAATAAGCTATTTTAGATATATGAGGACAAACAGTACTTTAAAATCAATAGCGTTACACCTGCATTAGCTTTGACCTCACAAAGGACAAGTCAGAAGTAACAGTGGTTTTGGGACCAAGGAAATCACGTAACTTAAACAATAACTCTTAAAATATCATCATGTGTGTGTGGGGGGGTGTTTATTCTTACTGTATGTCTTCTATAAGCAAATGCCTGAAGGAGGAAGTTCATGGCACTGACTGAGACATCCATGTCCATCTTTCCATGAGTGGTAAGGAGAGGAAGATAATGTTTCTTCCAGTCCAGGAAATACACTGGACACTGTAATAGCATCCTCCATCCTAGGGGTCTCTCTGGGAATGCTGGACCAACTGTGTCTATCTGGTAGGCATTCCCTCTTTTCTTAAATTTGAAGATGGCAGACTGTCAAAACCTACTTAAAAACTCTGTCCTCTCTCCTCAGTAAAACCTCTTGCTTCCAAGGTGATTTATTTTATGTAATTAGTACTAAATTGTCAAAGCAGATAAATTTAGAGGACAGTTAAACAAGTTGTAATTCTCTCTTTGAAAGTTAAGAATCATTCTGTCTTTTATACCTGAGTTGAGTTGATTAATTTACATTTTAAAGAGGGAAGGATGTTGTATTATTGAGTTTTAATTAGGTAGTACTTCTCAGCTCTGATAACACAATATATACAATGCCTGTTCTGACTGCACATGTGTAGGTAATTTAATTATTGTGTTTGTCCAGGTTGGATTCTTCTATTTTATTTCAGTGATACCTAGTTCTTCTAAATTTTGAATCAGTTTGGTTTGTCATTAACTGAAATGTAGCTTTAATTTGGGAAATGCAAAGAAATGAACAAAAATGTTCAACAATGTTCATTTGAAAATAATAACATTTTGTTCAGATTTACAGATGCTTTTATGCACTATGGTGTTTTAAAATATACTTTTCTGTAAATATGCCCTTGCATGAAAATTCAGTTGGATATTCTTTATTTAGAGGGAGAAAATTTAAGTTCGCTGTGCAGCAGCAATGATTTGGACTGGTTGGTCTCTATGTGTCTTTATCTGTGGCTGAAATTCTGGCCAGTCACCACATTTTGAGAAAAAGGTCATAACCAATTTAATTTTTATGCCTCTCAGGAAATTTAATCAGAATACTTTTAAACTACAGTATTAGACTATTGGCACAATATTCCAGATAATTTATATATTATCCATAAAGACTTGAAAAAAATTCAAACACAAGCAGATATTGGATAGATATATATATGTGTTTGACAACTGTATAGTAAACGTGCATTTTGGTATTTACCTCACCGAACGTGGATATAGTTATACATCTAATTTTTTTGTGTAACTATTTCCATTGGATATGTAAATACAGTAACTGTAGGCACAAATTACCATAATTGGCCATTTTATGTGCAATTATCTGATTTTCATACATAATTGTGGTAATTGTACACAAAATTAGACTGCGATTGCCTGTTTATCTATGCAGTTCTGTCCATGAAATATTGAAAATCTAAAAATAAGTTCTAATAAACTATGCCTGTGATTTGTGGGTATACTACCATACATAAAAAAATTGCTTTGCCCAGTACTTTATAAAGGATACGTTAGAAGTCACTAGAGCGCAAAGAGCATATCACAGGTAGTTGATAGATCGTTGCAGCCACGTAGTATTGTGATAGCACATATTTTATCCTGAATTTATGCCTATGTAATAGAGAAAGGCCATGCGGTGGTCTGAATAATGCACGATGATTCAAATACTTACCAGTCATCAAGCCACGTCACCGATGGAAACTTCTCACTTTCTACTCGTCTCTTCCCACTTTCCAGCTTCTGTCTTGCAGTTTATCAGGAAACGCATTCCAGTCTCTAGGATCTTGTGTGGTGCTGCAGACACCTGAAGAGTTTATCTGCAACATTGATTTATCTGAATGTATCAATCTGTCTCTTCTGTCTCCCAGGTTCACCTGAGTCATTTTAAATTACAAGACGAGATGAAAAGGACAGCAGTGTTAAAACCATAAACTCGAGATTTAAGTTTTTGATTATAGAATTAGAAACACTGTTACTAAAAAGAAAGAAAAGTTTCCTCCCTTTCCACCTTCCTAGATATTACTGTGCAACATGGATTTTCTTATCCTAGCTAGCTTTTGAGTAAAAGACCAAAGCCTCATTTCTCTGGTTCTCTCACCCTTTCTGTCTTTCAAAAGACAAATCTTTTTTTCTATTTTCAGTTCTCTGTCCCCAGAGTTTTCTTCAGTGGTTTCCTTGAGAAATACAGCCTATGGATTCAGATTTATTTCTTCTCCATTCTTAGAATTATATTTCTACCTTTCTCTAGTATCTTTTCTGAATTTGTGTTATTTTCTGACACATTAGCTTATTGGCTTTCCACTTTTACAACATTTTCAAAACTGTCACAAAATTTTATAAATCATATATCAGAAGAGGCACTCAATGTACACACTTTTAAAATTTATAGTGTCTAGTCTATTTTAAGGTTTCATAGAGACTACATAAGATATATTAATAATATAGATGGCATATAGAATTCAGAGAGCTCTATAAATTATTTCCTTCCTCTGTGCCTGAAGTTATTTGTCTGTTTGGGATTGCAAGTATACAGGCAGAACAGGAAGAAAACAATTAAAGAAGACGCTGCTTATTCGCAATATTTACTTATTATTAAGATTATTAAATAGTGTTTGGGGAAAGACTTGGGGAACATTGATTTATAAAGCAAAAACTTATTCAATCCACAGCATACAAATACTCATATGCCTTAAAATGCACACATAGATCTCCCTGGAGCCCTGCGAAGACTTACGTGATATGCTAAGTCTTTTTTATATCTACAGTTGCTATTTTGCTTTCTTCCAAGCTTTGATGGTTGGCTTGATAGTAACTTTTATAGTGATATATGAATCTAGCCTTGTGCCTGGTACATTTTCATTATGCAGTTTTTCTCTGTAATTTCACTACTCTAATAGCAAACTGCTATGATTTAAAACCGTTATACAGAGAGGAGATACTCAGGTGTGAGAGTTTTTCTAAGAGAAGGACTCAGCTATGATTTCAGGAACAGTTGAATCAAGAAAGGTACCATATTTTGGCATATCATGAGCAGCAAGGTATTTTGGGGCATGTTGTTAAAAATGGATTGGGAACAATGTGGACACATAGGGACCTGATCTGCTTGAGAGACACAAAGCTGAAGTATTAATGTACTATTAGTAAAGTTTTAGTGGAGTCATTCTGAAGCATTTAACATACATTACCATACATTATATTGCAAATCCTGCCTGTGTAGTGATCTCATGGAGACAATTTATAGAAGCCGAGCAGTTTTGTTGTGTGATTAAACATGGATTTCTGAAGCTTTTGTTTTGTTTTAACAGAACAATGAAAATGAAACAGCACTGCATTGTGCAGCTCAGTATGGTCATTCAGAAGTAGTTGCTGTTCTGTTAGAAGAGCTAACAGACCCTACAATAAGGAACAACAAACTAGAAACACCTCTGGATCTGGCAGCACTTTATGGACGTCTGCGCGTTGTAAAAATGATCATCAAAGCATATCCAAACCTGATGAACTGTAATACAAGAAAACACACTCCTTTGCATCTTGCTGCACGTAATGGCCACAAAGCTGTTGTACAGGTGCTTCTGGAGGCGGGAATGGATGTCAGCTGCCAAGTTAGTGTGTAATTTCTTCCTTCACTTCTTCTTTTCCTCCTTTCTTCCTTTCTTACCTTACTTACCTTTATCATTAGAATATGATTCAAATGAAATAGCTTCTTACACTTTTTCTTTTAAAATACACTTGCATTTACTTTGTTAGGAACGCTGCAAGGTGATATATACTACAGATTTATTTTTTACGACCCAAATAATGCATTCAAAGGGATAACTCAAGAAAGATATGTGTCTTCAATGCTCAGTGTATATTTTAATGTTGTCTTGAGGCATGTAGATACACAAATCATATTAACCATTCATGTAGCAGTATATATATATTTTTTTTACAACATTGGCTTTAATGATACTAACCTGACTTGCTAAAGCTATGGCCCTTAATAGTCATAGCAATCTGAAACAATGTTTGACTGAGAACGCATTTTCCAAGGGTTATCCCATTGTGAACCAAAAGTTACAAAATACTACTACTATTACTACTGCTGCTACTGCTGCTGCTACTACTACTACTAGTAGTAGTACTACTACTACTACTACTACTAATAATAATAATAATAATTTTTCTGCTTTCCTAAACACTTGTAGTATAAATCTATAATTCTATAGCAATACACTCTTGCTGCTACTGACTGCAACCTGCTAGCTCTTTGGTGCATTTATTCTACGCACAGTAAATTATAATGGTGTAAAAGAGGTAACTTTAAATAAGAGACATAGATGGGAACTATAGAACATAGATACAAGATACAGCAGCAGTACATTTTAAGTCCAATTCTTTGTAGTGGAAAGTGTCCAAGCCTTCTAACTCCAGAGGACCTGATTCTGTTACATGTGAAGTCTTGCCTCAGGCTTATGATTTCTCTTGATTCGATTGACAGCACTGTATTTGAGTTTAAAGTGCATTTTCTCTTCAGATTTAAAGTAGCCTTCTTACCATCTGATGTATTATGGTTATAATGCTTCGAATTAAGGTTGTTTCAGCTTTATTTCTATTTTCAGATAAACCAACTAAACAAATGTAATTACATCTATTTTAGAGTGACATCCAGGCATTCTTTACCAATAGGTGATTTAATAAATCTTGTGAACTTTGCCTAAACTTTGACTAAGTTTTATAACCATTTTAAGCTTTAATGAAACACCTTTGTACACATATTCCCCTTTATATAACGGGAATGCACTTGGGTTCTATGCACTTTTGTTATTTCTGGATTCTTCCATCAAGGTTGTGTTTTTCAACTTTTGAGGAAAAGAATGTGAAATGGGAAAGAAAAGATAGATTAAAAGAAACAGCAAAGCAAAAGAGAAAATAGTAACATATTTTAAGATTAAAAATGGGTATTCTCAAATGACTTCAAAATGAAAATGTAGTAAAATTGTTTTGCTACTTTTAATAGCTCTAGTATCTTTTGAGTTAGCATTGTTGCTTGCTTCAAACTATTTCAAACTGAAACACTTTTTTTTCTATGGTTTGCTTACTTGTGTATTTGCCTGGCATTATGCTTCCAATTTAATTTGCTTTTGATTTTCTTTACTAGGAAGTGATACACTTGTCAAGATTAATACAAGCAGCTCTTTTGTTTCAGCTGTCCTTTATTATTACTACATCTTAAGTAATTTAGAAAAGTTTAAAGCTAAAGCAACATGTAACTGAACCCTTGAATATGTGTTTCTGAATATATAATTTCTCTTCTATCTCTAGCAAATGAGTGAGGAAAAAGTCAGAAAGAAACTGAACTGATGCCTAAGAAATAGAATAATTGAAGACAAATAGTGTCTGTCATGGCAACTCACAAACTGATGGTTACATGAGGGTTGAATATTACACAATGCTTTTATGAAGTGTGTTCTTCCTCTTATGTAATCTAGATAATTTTAGCACCATTGTGAATTCTCCTAAGCCATTTCTATCTATAGTTATACCAAAAGTTTTTTGCTGGTCTTTAAAAAATATAGTGGCTGCAAATTTTGAACGATCTTCTTTTAAGAAATGAGAGATTCTTTTAGTAATGGTGATCTGTTTGCCATCTAGACTAAAATTCTAGGACTTTTTTCTTTTTTTAAAAATTCTGATTTATTTTAAGAAATTGATGTTCTTATTTTTCTTAGTTATTCTTAAGCGGGGGGGATTTTAAAATTTTATTTTATTTTATTTTATTTTATTCTGGTGTAATCTTGTTTCTTCTGTGTTTGGCCTACTTGCCATAAGGAAATATCATTTCTTTATTTTCTTACCGCTATGCATACTCTCCATCAATATGTTCCTTTTCATTCAGCATCTTAGCATATTGGCAAGTAGGCTCTGTACATATTGTTAACTTACTCCTTCCACAACCTCTGAAAAATTCTTTGTTGATGATTACTGGCAGCTTATTAAACTGAGCAGAGCATACAATATCAGCCTGTTACTTAAAACTGAACTCAGCTGTTTTAATATTAATTAAATTGCTCTGCATCACTGAATGGGAAAGAACAGTATACAAAATATAATCCTGTGTGGTAAATAAAATTGTACACATTCATACACGTTAAATAAATTTAGCTTATCAGCAGTAAGCTCTCAGAATGCTGAGAGACAATTATAGAAGCAGCCTATCTGCTATCATTCTGTAATTGTAAATATTTATTTGTTTAAATGGGAAGTTTACTTTAGCCATGTTACCTTTCTCTTCTGTACTCCCTGAGCACTTTTTAATTGTAGCAAATATTTGGACTAAAAATAGACAGCATTTAATTTTTTGATTGAATTAATCACACATTTTATTCATTTCCCAGGTCTATCCAATATCCTTCAATCTGAAATTATTTAGAAGCGGGCAATACAAATCTGCTCCATCTCTTTATGCTTTGAAGTTTTCATTTAAATTGAAACATATGAAAAATACACAGGTTTTGGGTGAGTGATAGATTTTGGGCCCTCAGTAAAATAAGATACTGCACAGTTCAGTGTGTTTCATTTGAACAGTAATTTTATAGTTGTAAATTCCTTGAAAACTTGCCCCCTTCTGCTTATACAACCTTTTTCTATCCCTGTTTGCCTTCCCTGCCTGTTCCAGTAATAATGGCAATTTCCGTTGCTTATCACTGTAGCTTTTCTGCAAAGAGCTACACCCCTTCCTTTTTGCTGTCACTATGTATGGAGGGTATTCCTGGAAGCAATTTGCAAAGCTACCATTCAGATTATGTCTGAAATCCATGTCAAAGCTATAGTAAACTGCCTATGAATAAGGACTAGACAAGTGACCTAACTACAAGCTCTTGCATATTTACATGGTTAAAAAAATCTCTAATTAATAAAACCCTTGGTACTTTCATGTGAGCCTGCAAATTGTACACCAAGTTGAATTGTATATCCTGGTGTTCCTACTGGCAATGCCCTTCTACCCTTGCTTGCATTGTGTGTCCAGCTGGGACATTCTACCTGTATTTAGCTGCAAGCGACTTGGGGCAGGGACTGTTTTATTATATGCTTAGCACAATTTGTGCTTTAGTTCTCTATATTTAATACACAAAAAACTTATGCCAGGGAATCAATATATAATCCATTGATGCAAACTCAAGCAGACTTTACCTCACTGTGTTCATGAAAAAATACCAGCATTTTTTGCATTAAATATCGCTGTGGAAGACTTTCCAAATATAATGGTAGTGTTCACGTTGCCAGAAAAATACAATCCAAGACAATGAAAGCTTCAGAAAGTAAATTAGTGAGCATTGTCTATAAATCTTAACTTTGTTTGCTGTAGTATAGACAACAGGAGTATGTTAGTGCATAGGTACACCATTATAAGTGAAAAAGATCTACCTTAAAACTCTAGCACATCTTAAACATTATATAGTAATTATTTGCAACTACATTTTCTAATCCTTCCAATTTGTGTAATATGCTTTATTGCACCAGAAAAAAAACCCCAACATTATTTCTATCGTCTCCAAGTAGTAGTCCACATGTACATTTACAAAGAGATATCTACTCAGTCAGCCAGTCCTCCACGTTTCTCTTGGCCCTGTTCATCCTGAGGCTTAGCATTTTCCCTACGTTAAGATGGAGTTTGGTAACTGAACTCTCTGGTAGCAAGGACATTTCTGCCTTCTGGACAGTTTTTGGGTCGAGGGATCTGATCTGCTTGTTAGTTATTCACTATTACCATGAAATCCTGCCTAGAGCTTTTAAGATTTACGTCAGCATTCATCTTCGTGACATCTCATGCAGGATTACACATCTGCATCTTACAAGTGTGCTTTCATTTTCCATGTTCCCAGACTGATTTTATTTCAGTTTCGTGGTAATATTTCCCCTCTTTCTCCAAAAATCACCTATATATTGGACAGATCAGTCCATTTTTTATATGGCATGCCTCTAAAATTCCTCTTTCAAACAGACCGTTTGTAATATATACCTCATTTCTGGGATATGACATTCATAAGCATTGTCTGATAGCTTGGAGTTGTAAAGCAAAGACTGCCCCAGAATTCAGGGCAGTGCAGAATGCCTGTAAAGCATTTCAGGGTCATGTTCAGATATGACAGGAAATATCGCTGTAGAATAGACCAAGAAGCTAGAAAGTATGAAATGAAAAAATGCATTTGGCTTTGGTTTCCTCTCACCACACTATGAATTACCTATGTAGTTGGCTTAAGTTTCTCTACTCCCTTTATGCATGGCAGAGCTTTGGTTCATTGTTACAGAACTATCTTCTGGCTCTCAAGTTGTCCGCAGATAGATTTGTTTGCCTTAGACATCTACAGGAAATTTCTTCTTCTCATGTTAGTTTTCATTCCATTTCTTATGAGATGTATGCTTGCATCAAGGAAAATATTACTTGCCTTTCCTGCAGCAAAGAGTTTTGATCAATAGAAAGGACTGCTACCAGTTCTGACAATTATCATATCGGTATCTTTTCCACTCCTTAACTGAGGACTCTGAGGATAGATCCTCTCCCTTGTCTTCAAAGCTGTTGATTGAGCGTGCCAGAACATTAATTTTTCTCAGTCTCAGATCATGCCACAACAATGGATTCTAGATAGCTGTTGTCACTAAAGTATGTCCATTTTTTTTTCCATTAAAAAAGTTCCTTATTAATATTAATACAGAATTACCCCTACAATTTTAGTCAAGGTGCAGCTAGTTCCCGTCTCTGCAGTTCATCCTCAGTAGAACTAAAATTTAGTGCTCAGGCCTCCTATAACATTTGAACCTCTGTGGATTTCATTGTTGGTGTATATATCACAAATTATTATCCCTGGCAGAATCACAGAATGGTTGAGGAAGGTAACTCTGGTGGTCATCTGGTCCAACACTCCATTCAAACAGGGTCACTAGGGCAACCTTCAGCATTGCCCAGAACCATGTCCAGACAGCTGTTGAATATCTCCAAGGACTGAGACTCCACAACCTTCCCGCGCAACATGTACCAAGGCTCAGTCACCTGCACAGCAAAAAAAGTTTCCTTATGTTCAAACAGAACCTCCTGTGTTCCGGGTTTTCCCCATTACCTCTTCTCTCACTGGACACCACTGAGCCTGTCTCAGTTGTCTTTACACCCTCCCTTCAGATATTTGCACACATTGATGAGATCCCCTGTGAGTCTCCTCTTGTCTAGGCTAAACAGTCCCAGCTCTCTCAGCCTTTCCTCACAGGAACGATGCTCCAGTCTGTTAATCATCTTAGTAACTCTCTCCAGTAGCTCTGTATCTATTTGGTACCAGGGGGCCCAGAACTGGACAGAGTACTCCACGTGTGGCCTCATCAGTGGTGAACAGAAGGGAAGGTCAACTCTCTTGACCTGCTGGCAACACACCTCCTAGTGCGGCCCAGGATACCCTTAGCTTTTTTGCTGCAAAGACACATTGTTGGCACGTGTTCAATATGACAGAATAAGTTCAACTGTAGCAAATATGTTCAAATATGAAAGACACTCCTCTTTTCTCAAAACAGTGAGTGATCAATTGTGATTGAGCCTCTATTTTGGTGTTCTTCTCTGGCAGATTACTGTGCCAAACTTCTTCCTATTGTGGCTTTTGAATTTCACCATTTGTCTTTCCAAAGTCAAATATTTTGGGAGTCAAAACTGTACTTCAATCCTTGATGATAGGGAACTCTATGTTAACCAGGTCCACCCAATAGTCTTGAGGTTTATTCGTGTCAGTAAGTGACCAATCCAAAGGAAATGCCATATCTACACAAATACCGGAGAGGATAATAGGCTGTGCCAAAGCCTTTTTCAAGATTGCTGATGTCAAGCCTTTTTCAGTAATCAGACCTATAGCTATCAGTGACTTTTCTGAGAACTGTTTTCATTCCCAGAAATTTCTGAGCTGCACCTTAAGCTCTGCTTGTACCTTTGTGGTTGCCCTGTCATTCTAGAGTTATTCAGTGTTGAAGTCAATTATTACAGTTACTGGAAAACTCCTGTAGATACAGTTTAGAATTCTGACACCATCTCTAAGTAAATCGGAATATTTAGCCTTGTTCAGAATAAGTCTGTGGATGTTCATCTAGGTTGCTTCTGAAAATGGAAAGATTTGAAGTTGTTTTCATATATGTATTTCATATGTGTATTCTCTTACTGACTTCCTGCTCTCTGTTATACTGTTAATATACCCCCTGTGCTGGGTGTAAATGACATTGGGCATGCTCTACTTTGTACATCCATGTACTAAGTATGGAGAAAGATAAAAAGTGAGTGTTCCTATTATGGACACAACAAAGAGTTTTCAGGCTCAATTGGTAGGACATATGTACACTTACTGTGTGCTCACATCCATCTCAAGATCTCTGATTACTTCTAAATATCCTGTCATTGCATTGCTGTAACGCTGGTGCATTCTGATACAGCTAATAAATAATGAATCACTATTTTATTTCAGAGCTAATTTTTTTGTGTCTTTGAAGTCTTTCCATCATAGCAAGCATGACAATAATGCATTTGGATAAAATACAGAAAAAATAAATTCAAGTAGTAACACCTTTAACATTTGCCCACAAATATAAAACACTCAAAAACTAATTTACTATCAAAAAAAAAAAGAGGAGATGAGCCAGAGATTCAGTGAGATCTAGTGGTGCTTTAACTAGTGCTAATGCTGTTGTATGGAAAGGCATTTTGTTCAGATTTTTCAGTAACAGTCAGCAGTATAAAATAGTAAAAAAAGTAGCTCGTTGAGAGAGGTAGTTTGTTTTTCAGTACTGTAAATTTTATTTGAGCAGATGTCCATTCACAAAGAATTTTGTGTCACAGAAATATGCAAAATCAGGTTCACAGACATCTAAGGTAGAATTTAAATAATCTAAACATAGACATCTAATGCTGTTGAAGGTGCCTTAGGGTATCCAAGACATCTGTATGGGGCAGATATGATGCAGATCAAATATGAGCATCATCTGGAACATCAGCTGGAGGCCAGGGGGGATATCCTAGGGCACCTCTCACTATGTAACTGAATTGACCTTCTAGGGTGTGATCCAGTTTCAGATTAAAACACCAAAGTGTAGATGTCCACATGTAAACTGGCTGACTCTGCTGAACAGCTATGTTCCACTGATGATGCTGACTAGATTTTCACTGCCTACAATACGAGTTTAGAAATTTTACACAAACTCAGGCTTGTTAATCGGGAGTTGTATTTCATCCCTATGGTATGTTCTTATATAGTTACTATTTTTACAGTAGAACTGACAGTACTTCTGTTGTTATCTTGAATAGTAATAAAAAAATTCTGGCAGTATTTGTTCTTGCCCATTCAAAATTTTTTATGTGTAGATAAAATAGGTGGGAAAAAAAAATACTTATTTTCTAAATGTATTCTTTTTAAGAGGATCCATTGGTATTTTAATTTGCATTTTAACTGTCACAATATTTTTTTTTCCAGACAGAAAAAGGGAGCGCATTACATGAAGCAGCCCTATTTGGAAAGGTGGAGGTAGTACGCATTTTGCTTGAAACAGGTAAATCTAATTTACAGGAAACAGTGAACAAATATCCTTAATGTTCCTGCTCCCTCAAGTTTTGGTTATACAAATTACCGTTATCTTTCTCAGCCTTTGCAAATCTAATCGCATGTACCTCTCCTTAAAACAGTGATCTTTTAGAATAAGAAATTATTCTACACAGAGAACAAAAGGAATGTTTTCACTAAGACTCAGAAATTCCATATATGACTCATTGTATGCCACTGTATTCTGAGAATAAATGTATTCTGAGAACAAAATGGCTACATAGAATTTTATTATTCATTCTGAAAGACAGACAAGAATTTTCTTTGATCTAGAGGCCGGAAGACTCATGTTCACATTTATTTCCTTCACTAGCTATTCCTAACAAACACACCATTCTGCTTGCTCCTGCATTTCCTGGATAAACTTTGAGTGCCTGTGAAGAAAGGGGAAGGCACTGTGTCTCCGAGAATTGAATTTGTCCTGAAAGGACAGGAGAACAGGGATATAGAGTCCCAACAACCCCATCTACTACATAACAAGAGTTTCAGAATTGTTGCAGGTAAATTACTCATCTAGACAACTGTCTTCTCAGATAAATGAGAAGACCAATGAAAATGAAAATATTTAGAAATTACTTCTATGAGATACTTGAACTTCCATTACACTGAGGGATCTCATTGATCTTTATTATCAGTGCTTATGGGGTTATATATTGCAAAAGAAGGTATGCCCTACTCACAGCTCCTCATTTGAATCTCAGCTAGTACGTACCTGATCTGAGATCTGTTTTCAGAAAAAAAGATCCTTCCAAGGTGCTTTCCTGTTTGGATGAATAAGAAGGAAGCAGAAAGTGATCTTCACCTGCCCTCAAAAAGGCAGAGCCTTTTTATATTAATTCACCTAAAGGAGTAAGGACTGGAGAATATCACACAAACATAGGAAGCCCTTAGACCACAGATAAAAAATACCTTTATAGATTAGTACTCTCTATAGCCTCTGCCAGAGTACAGTTGTACAAAACAGTGGAGTAGAATCTTCACTGTGAACTCCTTCAACCCCAAATGCTCTGCACTTCTGTGGCACTCCCCACTTTCTGCCTTTTTTTATCTAACAATACCCTTTTCTCTAGTTCTGCTTCAAAAAAGACTCAGATGTTATAAGCAGCTACTGCAAATGAAAAGTGAAAGTTGGTGTCTCTGGCCTCTGAAAATCAGCTGCCACTTTTAATTAGCCCAGCAAAATTTTGGCTTTATTTTCTGTGAGAAAACAAATATCTCTTTCTCACAATACAAATTGGGAAACTCTCCATCAGGTCAGGAAATGACAAGAACTGCAGCCTTTTCTGGTGAGTAGAGAAGTCCTTCCATGCTTCCAGAATGTCCTTATAAATCCTGCCTTCTCTGATTTCCTCTATTTAGTGTCCTGAGAAGAATCTCATTCCTTAGGACCTTACATGCCTTTACTTTTCATAAAAGTACATCTAAACTGAAAACCAACTTCAGTCTTCTACCACAAGGCAAACATTTCCAAAGTAGCCCCTACAAGACAAAGGTGGACAGTCATGCAGTGTCATGTACAACAGGTTGTCTGAGACCTACCCAGGATAAGCGCAAAACTTGTTTATGGTTACATTCACCATTTGAGCCAAAGCATTTGTCAACAGTCTGAGCAGTCTGTGAGGAAATGCTTTGGCTATTCACACAGCCCTTATACTACATATAGGTATGTCAGTCTACTCAGAGCATGAATTTCGAACATGTTGCCATGAAGTACAAAACTTTTAAGGTTAATAGCTTTTTCAGTTTTGCTCCCAAAACATATACTGGTACTATGGACTAGAAAATCCCCAGTGTATCAGAGCAGCTGGAGAGAATTAGAATCCAGGAATGTAGGAAAATCATTCAGAGAAGTTCTTGATTTTATAAAATATGATTTTCAGGATGGCTGTTTCTTAGGAACAGTCTGTTTAACTAATCCCAAGTTTGATTTAAGAAGCTTACTTTATATCCCCATGAGTTACAGAAACATAAAAACAATCCATGTCAGCATGTGAATTTTAGGCTACTAAAGCTTTAAACAGAAATGGATGCTGTACTGCAGCTATAACACAGCTGTCAATCTGCTACAGTTGTAAAACTGCTTGCATTCAATTTGCCAGATAATTGAGTCTGATATACCACATTTATAATCAGAAGTACTTGGGGTTAAAAATTCCACCACAGATCGTTTTCTTTTTCAGGAATTGATACCAACATAAAGGACAGTTTGGGTAGAACGGTTTTAGACATTCTTAAAGAACATCCATCTCAGCAGTCACTCCAAATTGCGGCTCTACTTCAAGGTAAGTCATATTCAGTTATACATTTGTTAGAGGCAAATCAGAAGAGCATGGGAGAATATTAAGATATATAATAATTTCTACTCTTTAGCTATTTCATTATACAAGAGAGTAGTCTTTTGAATTAAAAAGATAAAATTCTTGTTTGCTAGATACAGAAAAAATAAGTGGTTGAATATCTGAATTTCAGAGTAATCCCTTTCTTTTTTTCTGACAATGGCCATTAGCATGGTGTGTCACTTACAGTTACTCTTTGTGCATTCTTCATTACAAAATAACGTATTGTAATTTTTCACTGCAGTTCCATTAAATTGGTATGGTAGAAATGTTTGATTCGTTCATAAATAACAACTGTGACTGAAAGATGATGAGAAATTTTTAAAAGAATTTATTACATTCTTCTAATTTTCCTTAAATTTAAAAAAACCTAAACCAGGCAGTAACTCTTGTCATTATAGCAGAAATAATATAATTTTGTTGTACATATGTGTGTTCTCATTCCTCATCTTACTTTCATGGTGTAAGACTGATGAAACGCCATTGTTTACTTCAATTTTTTTACTGTAGAAGATGGCAGTAAAGGGATGAAACATGAGCTAGTACGTAAGTCAGTGTTAAACATCATTCATTCTCTTCTATGGAATTTGTTCCATGCATTTTCAGATTAGTCTTTAATTAGCTCTGTTTGACCGAGCAGTTGCCCGCAGGTATCGTTGCTGCATCTCCACCTATATTGACTATTTCCATCTTTAAAGAAGCCGTTTTAATCAGGTCAGTGTTGGTTCTACATATGAACTAGCTCATGCTCCAGTCTCCTGCATAACTATATTTCATAAGAACATTTCCTAGAGAAAATGAGGTCATGTGGCCACACTGTGTCCTTCAGGTTTTCTTTTCTGAATAACTTTCAAACTTGCTAGCCAGCTTCAGTAAAGTTTTCCAGTGAGATGATGGACTGCAAATACAAAGCTCCTATAAGTATAATGAAAATTTTTCAGGCTGGAGAGGTATTCTCTTAAGGAGCAGATTCATGTTATAGCTGAACTGAATTAACAGCTTGCCTTGGGGTCTCAGTCTCTCCCTCTTTCCTATTTCCTTTCCCCTTTCCCCCATTCCCCTCCTTCCTCCTCCCCTGCTTTCAGCTACACAGTTCCCTTCCACATTTCCTGCTTACAGGAGTTTGCAAAGTGATCTGATTGAATTCAAGAACTAGTAATATATAAAACACACAATTTATTATATTACCTATATTTAATAGTATGTAGCAATAATAAAAAATAAGATTATATAAATATACATTTGTTTGTTTTAATGAGCTTGCCTCCTATGTGATTCAGGTCCCAGAATTAGCTCTGTCCCAGGTAACTGGCAGAAATGTGCATCAAAATGGGGAGGAAGATATGAGTGAAGGAAGTAGGACTTCTCCCTGTCAGCAGAAGGGAGTTCCTGATGTGACTCAGACTGTATGGTGAAACTTCAGCTTTTATGTCCTCACTGAACTGCAGTGTGAACATGAAGAGGAAAAGAGGGTTAATATACTGAAACTTCTTCAGTGGCAAGAAAAGGTTCAGTCAGAGCTTCCACTTTCTTAGACATCCAAATCAATCATCCTTCAGATATTAATCTAAGATTCCATCACCAACTAAATAATTTTAATTATAGTATCTCTGCATTGTTCCATTTTCTCCTTAGTGTAATAACCTTGTAGTCTCAACCCCACTGATGAACAAAGTTTCTTCAAAGTACCCTTGCTCTATGAAAAACAGAGCACCCAAACCCTCTCAGGGGTTTGTCATGTTGATGGATCAGTATCTGCCCTTAGTTTTTACCACAGAAAAGAAATACATCAATTTCAAGGCTTTTTGGTCTTTTGACATGCAATCTTTTCCACGTCTGCCTTGAAAATATAAAGAAGACCGCTTAGTAGTTTCACCTCATATTAGTATGATGAAGCTGTTCTTGTAACAAGCAGCTGTTTATTTTTGCTCTGTCTCCTTATAGCCAGAAGTAATGCACAAGGATGAAAAATGTTTACAAAGATGCAATTCTGAGTCTTAAGAAAACCTGAGGAGCCCCTTCAAAACTCCCTTGTGGAACCCACTGAGATTCTTTTTCATCAGTAAAGGGTTCACTGAAGCATTAATCATTTATGATAAAGTTTGAACTGTGAGCTGAAGTTGAAAAATAAAATCAGGAGTGGCAGGATTCAGTACTAGCACTGCTGATACAGAAGACCTAGCCTCCTCAAAAAAGCCAGCTGAGTATACTCTTCTCTGAAGTGTGGGCATTTATCTATTTTAGCTAAAAAATCAGTGCAGCACTGGGATTTTGGGAACCCTGAATGTACTGTATTGGAGTTTGACTTCAGTGGGTAATGAATTCCATGCAAAGAAAGGGCAATTGCTGAGAGAGAGTTAGTGGCTTTCAAATACATTCCTGTTAAGGCTCCTGTCTTCAGATGATTATCTAGAGAAGCTTGCATGACTCTTTCATGTAGACTTATAGGAAAAATAAATTAATGTCATCAGTTACTGACCAGACTTCGTGTCTTCCTAATTTTTTTTTATACGCAGACACAATGGCATTGAATTGATCCTTTCACCTTGTTGCCAGGATAGAGTAAGACTGTATCACCTAGAGTTCTCATTTTTACCATTTCCCCCTCTCATTGTTATGGCTGTTACTGTACGGTTCATATTATTAAGGTAGTATAATATTTGTCCCTGCCAGAAGACATGAGCTTTCAAATTATAAAACAGGCTGAAAGCTGCATATAAACATTCTGGCAGAAACAGGCAAGGAAATAACAGGACTGGTGTTGCCAGAGGGCCAGATAGGTAATGTTCTGTCCTATATGCAGAGGGGTAACAGAGTTGTGAGAAAAGTTTTGAAAGAAAACGAGTTGGTTTTGAGGATATTTATGAGAAACTTCTTTGAAGGAGGAGAAAGTAATTTATGTCTTTACAAGCAGTTCATGGAGGCAGTAATACTAAATCCTTTCAGCTGATACTAAAACCTACAGGACTGTTAGCTTCCTGTGAATGAATCCTCCAGAATTTAAGAATTGTTTCTATTGGCATTTGCCTTTTTTTTAAAGAATATTTACAAAACTACTTTTTACAGATTATAGGTTAAAAGGAACAAAACCTTTTGCCAGTGAGGTTTTAGAAGTGATCATAGTGTTTTTGTGATCCTTACATCTTGTCTCACTATCCTAAGAAAATAGTAATTGAAGTTTCTGCAAAAATATTTTTTGTGCGTTCGCAAAGTCTGCCACCTTTTTGGAGATTTTGGTGCGTCACCTGTTAGAAGGAAAATAAATAACAAGGTCACTTTAAAGAGCAATGGGGAAAATGCTGAGTAAGCTATACACCACCCAAATGTTTTTTTACTGCCTGTTAATTATAGATGGAAGTATTAGAAATGACAATTCAAGTTTTATTTCTTTGTTATTCATATATGCCCCATCATTTTCTGTGTCTTGCTCAGGTGTGAGTTGCACTGAACTCAATTAAAAATACTTATCACTGTTTAGATTCTTTATGTGGTAATGAAGAAATAGCTGTTTAGGCATTATGTACTCAAAGAGCGGAGAATTAGAATACTGTGCCAAGTGAGGCCACTCTACAGGATGCATTTCATGGATGTAGTGAAACAACAGCATTCCGTGCTGAAGCAGTTAACAGTATTGGCACTTAGGGCTTTATAATTAGGCATTGAAGATAAAAGGGATGTTGCCAAGGCTAGTAGGCCTAAAATTAAACAGACCAGCTGTGTTTTAGTTTTAGCACATGTGAACGTGACGCAGGTGCATGCTATACCATCTTTCAACTCTTTCTCCACAGCCCACTATGCTCTGTATTAGAATCTTGCTCTTTTACTATTTCTAGAAGCAGAATTTTTGTTATTATGAAAGAAAGGAGATAGTAGATAAACAGATGAAAAATTACACGAGCCCCAGGAAGGCACAATAAGCTCTGCTGCATAGACAGTGTGGAGGGAGATATCATGGAAAGCTGTTTCCTCTCTCTTCTGCTGAAGCTGCTTAAGAACCTAACATCGTTTGTACATGTTACCGAATTATTCATAAATGGAAAATGCATAAGCAGCTGCAGAACCAGGACTCCTTTCTTCTCTGCTCTGCTTAAATAGCTTTGGTGTTGTTAGTACAGGCTTTCGTTTGTGTATTCTCACTCTCTCTTTCTCTCCCTCTCTTTCTGTGGACGAGTAGATCTTCCATTCCCTTGAGTGCAGGAGGCCAGCCTCACTGGAAGGATGGAATAAGTTTCCAGTCAAGGATTTAATTACAGCTGTGTGGGATGAAAATAATTGGGATCTCAATCCCCCTTTGTTGTTTCTTCTCTGGGGACTTCTCAGCCAGCTCCTTTTATAGGCTGTTGTGCAAAAGCTGTAGACTATTAACTATGTTTATGAATTAATTTAACTTCTGTTGTTTTGGGGACTGAAAGTTTAGCTGCGCCCTTACCTATCTCAGGATCATAACAGTACTTGAGTGCTTGTTTCTGTTTATCTTCCCTCAACACATGCACAAAAGCCTCCTTGCGTGCCAATAACCTAAACGTCTACTGATTTCAGTTTTCTCTGGGATTAAGTCAAATTTGAGTAATTCAGAATTTTCCTCTGAAATTTAGGAGACTGAAGTCAGGCCAGCCTCCATCTCAGCTCAAATCTGTCACCTTAGCACACCTGAAGGTAGCAGCTACCGGTCAGTTCTCTGTAATGCTGCTGTAAAAAGAAGAGGAATTGGGTCATGAAGCCTCAGGGTGGGGGGAGCATGTGAGCTGTTTTGGGAGGAGCCTTTAGAGAGCTCAGGGGCTGGGGCAGGATTTAATGAGGCTGCAGGATCCTTAGCCAGATGCTGAGAGAGCCCTGGGGAGGGCAAAGGGTGCTCTGGAGATTGCTGCCCTTCAGAAAGACATGGAGTGAAGGAGGAGTAAGGATCCCCCCTGCAGGGACGTGGGCTGTGGAGGGGAGTTGTTTCTAAACCAGTTTTATTCCTCCAGTCTTGTTGCATGGAGAGTCATTTGTTTGAAAAGGTGAGTGTTTAGATTTTTATTCTAATCAAACTTGGTTTTTTCAGAGTTTTAAAAGCCTTTTGGTCTCTTTAGGGGAAGTCACTCTAGGGAGGAGCGCTATGTGAATCCACTCTATTGCATGGCCAAAGTAGACTTTCAAAACAAAAAGGAGAGGAGCTCGTACTTCATGTAAAAAACAAAAACACCAAACCCCCCAAAAAACCCGCCACATTTTTTTTTTTCCATTAAAAGAAAAATTAAAAAGTTCTCTGAGGCTAATGTAGCCATTACTCTAAAAGCCCAAGTTTATAAATAAAGCAAAAATCTTGACCTTCTCACCTCACTGAGGAATTAGGACCTAGAGGAGCTTAAGTTAAAGCGAGCTGTGCTCTAGAGCCTGAGCTTTTACTGCCCCTGCAACTTCAGCAGCAGCTCCAGCTGAGCTGGGCCATGTTCTCTTCATGGCTGACCTCTCCAGCTCTGGCCACTCTGTGGAGAGGGAGCTGTGTTTCCTGCTTACGTGTTAATGCTTTCCCTTCTGCTTGGCTTCACCCTAACACGTGTTACAGAAACCGAGAAAGCTGGAGTTCAGCAGTTTGAACTGTCTAGTGCTTGTTAGCTTCTTGGGTTCATATTCCCCACTGCTTTTATTTCCATTACTGTGTGACCACTTTTATGCTATTACTTTTTGTGCACATGGCCCTGTTTAGATTGAGTGGGGCTATCTTAAAATCAGATAACCATAGAAAAGAATGCTACTAAGCAGGCAAACTTCTGGAGAGCTGTATTATTAATCCTCACTGAACTGTAATCTGCTGTTTGAGTCAACAGAAGTAAAACACTCCATTCTTCTGAAAGCAGTACGGTGAGGAAACATCTCTGAAGTGTGTGTTAACATATGCTTCCTTCACCCCTTACATGCTAGTCATGCCGGCTGTCTTTGAAACATGGGACAGGATGAAAGTAAGCTGGTGAAGGAAGTGGTGTGAATCTATCAGGTTGTGTCCCAAACAGCCTTTACTTTCCCCAGTTGTGAGAATGACAGGCTTTTCTCTAAACTCTGAGAGACCACAGCTGGAGAAACTTTTCTGGTCATTAAGTGGTATAACTGACTAAGCTTGGCTTTGTTTGGAATTATTTTTCTTTTTTTTTAAGGAAAGTGATAGAATCCAGAGCAGTCTCTCAAGCACACCATAGTCAGAGCAGATGATGGTAACAATATTGTCTTTTTCAATAAGTTTGGTCAGGCTTTGAAGATGAATTTCTAGACAGCTGCAGGTGATTAGAATTTGATTGTTGGTGAAAGCATCCACTGCTTGTGTGTACTTTGGCTCTTGACGTAGATCACCTGTTTTGTGTCTGTTTCCTTGATAATATTGTGGGTAAATATGCATTTACCTAGACTATAAGCCTCTCACAACTGAGTCCATGTCTTTTTGTCTTATATGTATCCAGTAGAATAAAACTAGAGTAGAAGTCCCACAGAAATCTAAAGTTTTAAGGAGTGCACTCTTACAAGGATGGCACGCTGCTGGCCTGTTCTAAACCTCTACACCAGACCTTGTACTGAGCCTTTTGTAGAGGTTTTCTGAAAGGAACTCTGCTGTTTTTAAAGTAAGTATTTATGAGACTTATGTTGAACTTGGGATTTCCTCCTCAGAACTAGCCTTCAGCTGGTAAGTGCGTTGGTCTGAAACTGGGGCCTGACAAAGAATAAAAATAAAGTATTATTTTAAAACCATAGTCTTATCTGAGTATTGGACAGCAAGGTTAAAGTCCTTTACAATCTCCCCTGCATTTCCTTTCCTAATAATGTCTGAATTAATCCAATAATTTTAACGCTCCCACCTGGTAGAACTTCACTTTAGGTTTGCTTTTGGACAGATGCACAATTATCAAGCAAATATCTTTCAGGCATGAATTCCTTTTTTCATTTTATTTTTCTTTGGGTCTAGCTTCCTACTTATTTCTCCTCCATCTTGCATGTAAACTTGACAAATAGTATAGTTGACAGAGCTGGAAAACATTCCAGAACACTTTGTCATGCTGCTGGTTTTCTTATGGTCTTTTACAGCTCTTCTTTGATTTCAGCCCTACACAAAAAAAAGTGCCCATTTTCATATGAAGAAATGTATGACAGATTATCCAGGGTACCATTGCCAGCCATCAAACTTAATATATGACATTTTCAAATCATACGTTCTTTCAAAAAACCCAAAACCAACCTGCAAAACATTCTGAGACTGCACGCTGTTCTCTACCATTTCCAATTTAATTTTCTCAGATGTCTATTTTATCACAGATTTTATTTGGGTTTTGGGATTTCTTATTTAGTCAGGAATAACAGCAAGCTAAACAAGAGCGTTGTAGACTGTAGAAATTAAATCAGGGAGACTTCACTTCCCAGAAACTCTTTAGTTCTTCAGTGTAATATTGATGAAAACAATGATCGTAGCTTGCTTTTGTGTGTGTTGCAACATGGACTGTTGTGGTTACTGTCTGGTGTCAGAAAGAACTTGTTTAAGCAACTTCAGAAAATCAAGAAAATGCAGGTGCAGAATAACTGCCTGAACTGAGAACCAGGCACTCTGCTGGAAAAAAGCTCCTCTATTGTGTCAATTAATTCCTAATTTATTATTTAATATTTGTCCTACAATAACAGTTGTTAAGTGGCCTTGGTGTTCCATTGAGCTAGCGTGTGCACAAAAGCACATCATAATAATGTATGTACTTACACAAAAATAATAGTGATTAAATTCAAGTTTAGCATGTTCATTATTCCACATTTTTCCATTTTTATAAACATCGTTATGAAGGTGGGACAAGGGAAGTTTTAAGGAGGAAAAGCACAACAATTTTAGAACACTGCTTTTTACACTGCTAGTTTTAACTAAATTTTTGAGATTGACAGTATCAATATATGTATTGTGAACATCCTGAATATCTTGACTAAAATCTCATAACAAATTTAGTACAAAAGAAGAATCTCTCAACATTAATAATATAACGGAACAGTTACATAGATACCTCAAAGAGAAAGGAAAAACAGAGGGATAGTTGCAACTTCGACAATGAGATTTCTGTAACAGTTTCAGCAGATTAAAGAACGGGCCGTTACAGTGTTTTATAATACTTTCAATAAATGATTGCCTTGCAGCAATGCTCGTGAATAATTACAAGATTGTGGTATGAAAAATTGGGAAGTCTTTAATGAAAAATGAAGTAGCAAATATACTTTTGATTCAAATAAAGCCCTTTAATTCAGGAGCTTAAGTGTATGTGTATCTTTAAATTGCAGAATATATGGAAACAGGAAATGCAAGTATTTCAGAGGAACGCCCACTGGAATTCGCAGAACATCAGTCTTGCATTTTGTCCCCAGAAGTTCCTCCGTCTCCAAAGGCTAAAAGTAAATACATGTACTCTGTGAATACAGATGCTGTACTGAACTTCTCTTAATATTAAAATGATATTGCTAACACATTCATACAAACATACAAAATAGAAAAAGTGATATTAAGAAAGTTATTGATATTGAGAAGTTTTTTCCACCATGAAGTACCTATCTTGACTACATACATTGTAATCCATGTCGTATAGGAAAGCAAAGAACTGTATGCTCAGAAAGGACAAGTCTCTGGTGGGTTACAATGTATTACATTCTTTGGTCTTAAATCTTTTTAGTTTATCTGACCTTACAAATGTCGTAATCAAGTAAACCAAAAAGATACCACATGTCAAAATACTCTGCAGGCATTGTTCACATTTTAAATTAAAAATTGAATTTACTTTATCTTTCCCACTGAGTACCTCTTCCAATTGTTACATTTGAATGCCTGTTCCAAAGATCATGTGTGTACTGCTCTTCCATTCATCTTCTTGCATATCTTTTGTATACCGTGACTATCACTGTTGTGTGCACATGCTTGCATCTTATGTTCTGATTTGCCCTTTACACGCCACAGCCACATAAATAGGGCATTTCCTGAGTGTGGTGTTGTCCTGCTCTTCCATGGAAGTCATCTTCCTGTAGAACCAAACCTGACTTCTGCCTTCTGTAATCATCCAAAGTAAATGTAGTTGACTGCTGGCAAATAACTAAGACTCTCTTCCTTGTTTTTGTTGTGTGGGGTTTGTTTTTTTTTTTAATTTGGTTTTGTTTCTTGGGTGTTTTGGTTTTTGGTGGGGTTTTTTTGTTTGTTTGTTTTTCGAAACACCTTTACAGGGAGGTTTTCATTCACGAGAAAGCTAAGCTTACTGCTGCACACCAGATTATGCTCTTCATGGTGATAGTAAACAAATGCTCTAGTTCCATTCATGTGCTTAACAGACATATGGTGTATAAAGAGAAATAGTTCCTTTGAGGTTAGTAGAATCATGAGGTTGACTACTCTATGCAATAGAAATGTCTGTCCTGAAATTAAGTAGTAAATGTTTTTTTTTTAAAATATGTTTTACTTCTTAATGATAAGGTCATGCTCTCACATTCCTTGTTTCCACTTTCAAGGTATAAGTACTGTAAAATATTCTAGCTGGCTTTTGCTTGTCTGTCGCGTAATCTGATTCTAAAGGAAAGAAATAGTGCTTGATTGTGCTTCCCATCCATCTGTCTGCCATGCTCTGACAACCTAATTTCAAATAATTTAAACCAAATTTGGAAGAGGGATAGAAGTATCAATTACCTTTCTGTGACTTTTGTGAAAATAGGTGGGTAGATAGAGGAGAAAGACCTTAATTAGTACCTGCACTGAAAGAAATAGGCAAAATTTGTCTTTTATGAATTTGTTCCAGCAGCAGCCAGCCAGCCAGTTAGGGTACACTTACTCACAGGTCAGTCAGCACCCTTGCAGTTCTAGTTTTGTCACACAGAATTAATTCTTGCCCAGTAAGAAATATTGCAGGCTATACATGGGAGCACATGGGATTGAGGACATGAAAATAATTCTGTAGGAAACAGTAGTCCTGTTTCTTTTTAGGGAACAGTAATATGATTTTAGAATACTTCTTAATATTTAGCTATTTTACTTCCACATTTTATTTATTACAATATTAGTCTGGAATAATTTCAATTTTCTAATTAAAAAGGCAGAATATAAATAAACCTGATTATGTCTCTGTTTAGTTCACAAGTCTTGTGCAGTTACCATTGACTAAGAATAACAAGAGTTTTGAATGCAAAATTTCTGTAATGAGATATTAAAAGGCAATTCGATGCTTCTAATTAAAAACAACTGTTCTTGGCTGTGAAAATTTCAGTCATAACTGGCCATAGTTGTAATTTTAAAAATAATTTAGAATATTTACGTTTACCTAACATAAAAAACAGTGACTATGAAGAAAAGTGACACAAAAAGGGCTCTAGACCAAAGGCTTCTTTTGTTACATGACTGTACGTATATGTGTGTTGTATGTATGCTGAGCTTAATATGCTCACTCTGTTTTGCCTTTTCAGCATTTTATTCCCAAAAATGGAGCAAAATTGAACTATCTGTATTTTATCAAGTCTAAGGACAGCAATATGACACTTGTAAACCTAGTCAAGAAAAGAGTTTCTTATTTGCCCCTGGAAAAACTTGGCTTTCAGTCATTTTCATTGCTATTACTGAAGGTAGCTGTGTAATATGTATGCAATAGGTTATCAGAACCTAATGCAGTTGTTCAGAACAAGTAGCTTTTTACTGTATGGCGGTCTTGCTTCTGCTAGTGGACTATTTGCAGAAAAGTTAGCACCCAGTGTGATTCTAATACTTATTACTACTAGTATTCCTAATAGTGGCCCTCAGAATAGACATACAAAGCCTGCTGTCTTACTATTTTGGTAGATTTCTTGACTAAAGGTATCTGATAAATTAAGGAGAAAACACGAAACACAATGTAGAATGTGCTAAGCATGGGTTTCTGATAGACTACTGTAGGGGGACATGTTTTAAACTTGTGGGTTTTGCCCAGTATATCCTTCCACCATTCCATTTAATCCTGGGAAAGTGAGTAAGAGTTGTTTACAAAATGTAGCAACTTTGATGGGACAGGTACACATTCTCAGAAACTCGGTTCCAACCTACTTACAGCTTATGGAACATATGTATGTATTGATCACAGCAGCAAACATGAACTCAATGCAGAGTATGGGACACTGATTTTGTATGTTTGTAGAAGCTTTCCTTTCCGGGATTAATTTTACATTCTTGGATAGTTGCCATTTCTAGCCAATTTTCAGGATTAGAAAACAGAGAAAGGGTAAGTATATATTGTAATTCGTCCTAATTAAATGCAAGGTATAGGAGAATGCAGAATTATGTAGATTACCTCCAGTGATTCCCATTCTGGAATGAGATGCCATTATTTCTGAGGGCAAGATTGTGCATGAAGATCACTGCTTAGATAATAAGGCATGGAATATAACAGATGCTCAATAAAATTTAAAGAATGTAAATTTCCTTTTTTAGGCATAAATTACCCCTGGTATTCTAATTATTGACTAATGGTGTGTCTGTTTTTAAAGGTGAAGCTGTGACTGGAGAATTATCAAAGCTCTTAGATGAAATCAAATTGTGCCAAGAAAAGGAATACTCTTTTGAAGATCTGTCTCATACAATCTCAGACCATTTTCTGGAAAATTTTAGTAAAGTATCAGAGGAAGAACTTATGACCAGTGGAAGCCAAACCAAGCTTAATGTAGTAAGTAAGATGGGATACAAAGACAATATATTCAGTTATATCTGCTTTCTTTATGGCACATTCAAGAAAGAAATAGTACAAGAGTGAGAATAGCACAAGTCTAACGTTATAATAGAAAAAAATAATATAGCATGTGCTCCTTACGGGTTTAGAATTTAACATTCCCCTTATTTTACAAAGGTGTTGCTTACCACACCTCAGAATGGGTTTTTATGGTACCACTAATATGACCAAAAGTTCAGGTTAGTTGTTCGTTTGAGCATGGGGAGTACAAGGAAGGTTTTTTTCAGAAATCAGTTGAAAACAGTATGCACAATATTATACCAAAGACTAAATGCTTGCAGAATCTGGTCAGAAGTGCTCCCCAAAAGAAGCTAAGCATCTTACACATCTTATTGCTATATATGTTTCTTAGTAGCCTAATGGTATTACAGACTGAGTCTCTAATACTGAAAATTGTTGTGGTTGTGATACTTCAGTGATTTCCAACTACAGTTGAAAATATTACTTCATTACTACTAATTCAGTGAATAAAGGGCTCTAGGATTCATTTTTTCTTTACAGTGTAACAAGGGTTTTTTTTAATTGAATTCTCTTCCTCAATAAGTAAGTAAATGGGATTGCCCAGGGAATAAAGCACAGAACAGAGGGAAAGCGCTAAGTGCTAAATCTCAATTAATGTTGTTCGCAAGTTAAGAAAAATTATGCTGTCATATGTGGGGAGAAACATGTCAAGCTAAGGACTTCTATGTTCTAGAGGATTTATCACAATATATGTAGACAGAATGAGTTTTACAAAGAAGGTTAGCTGCCCTGAAATGCAGTAGATACTTTTGTAAAGCCCTTCTAGATGTTTGACTGATTAGATGCATAACCCATATTGAAGTCAGTCTGAATAAGGTACTGATCCCATTTAAGCTTTTTTATAAAACTTTCTAGTGTCTCTCTGTATTTAGGTGCTAACTGCTATTTAAATCTGCTCAGCTGCTGTTTTGCAGAAAATGTAGTTCATATAATTCTGTCTACTCAGACTGAAACTTTTACAGACCTAAATTAAATGTGATGTGAATAGGAAGTATTTGGACACTAAATCTGTAATCTATATGCATCAAGCAACTACAAAGGTAAATTAGGTGATAAATTTTTTGAGATTTCATCTATTTGTATATTGAACTAGATGTGAAAACAAATCTTCAGAAATGGGGACTGTTTAAAGCATGTTGTGGCTCTCTTCTGCTAGCGCACCCAGCTTTTCTTTCAAAGAAAACTACAATCAGGATGATGGTACATGCTCCAAACATGAAGTCAGGATGCAGGGCAAAGCACACTTTCCCTTGGGGTAAACTCAGCTATACAGGCCTTTATGGAGAGGGCTCTTCACTGTGATGTGGGATTTTCCTGTTTGATCTAATACGTCCATTTCATTTTTTAAAGTATTTTAAGGTCACTCCATCTGTTCTGCTGCTACCTGGCTGCCTTGCATCAAACAAAGTTCTCCCAGTTTTGACACACTGTCTTTCAGTTTTGGGGACACGCTACCTTCCCCCTTGGTGTGTAGACTCCCTGTATACTGCATGGGTGATATGAAAACCCACACATGCTGTAAGGAGCCATCAAAGAGTAATCAGGAAGGAGCACTAAAATGAAGAGATATGCTTAGCTCTGAAAATGGGTGCAAAGGTGAATGCTGCCAAACTACTCTGGGGGCAGGACCAGCAAGCGTGGTGGTGGCAGAAGTGCAACAGTAGGGTGATGACTGAAGAAACTTAAATGAATATTTATGTATAAGAATATGGAGATACAGAGAGAGAGAGAGAAAGAAGTGGAGACATATATAGATATGGAGAGTCAGAAATAGATTCCTTGGATATGTATTAAAGAAGAGAAAGATTCTTACAGATTCTTTTTCTGACTTTTTTTTTCCTCCTCCCTGGGAAGCTTCTGTAAAAATCTCAGTAGAGTAAGTGGGGTCTTCTCTGTTATTCATTGTTTTCTGCGCCAGCATCAGCTCTGAAGAGGTGTAGAGATCAGGTCCCTGGTAATGCGGAAGATGCCATTTCCTGGGCAAATGTTGGTTCCAGAGACGATGACTGATTCAGGCTTTTCAGTTTCTCCTGTAGTCCAGTGATCTGAACAGGTTCTAAAACCCAGGTCATGACGGTTTGTGACCCTTGGGGAGATTCTGCAAAGGAACTGGCTTCTAGGAGACATCTGCATTTTTTTGCATCATGCTATTGTTCAGAGAAATAGGAGGCCAAGACTGGGGAATTTCTGTTTGGAATAGTAGCTTGTGGGTCCAAAACTTACTAAGCTGGTTCAAGGAATATCAGGAGCCACCTCCTGAGACTAGCATGGGCATGCGGGTGTGTTTCATTGGCACATAAGTTTTGTTTGTTTGGGTTTTTTTTAACAACTGGCTCTTTTGAAGAGGGCTAAATCACCTGTGGTACTGCTCTGGCTAAGTAAGATTTAGATTGATTCAGGACTGCAGAAAGGAGTATCAGTCTATCTAGGATCCACAGCCTGGAATTCTCTCCTGAATCTAAGTGTCAACCTGTTTTATTTGAAAGAGCAGGGCTCACTGTTTCTGTTTAGTGTAAGAATAGGGGGGATGCCTGCTTTTTAATGCAGTAACTTAATAGTTAAAGGCTTCATTTGGAAAGTGGAAGAGTGGGATTCAGTTCTGTCTATGGCATAAGGATGGGTTTTAACATCATATTTATAGTGTCCCAAATAAAAGGACTGAGCATCAGCCTGTTGATTCCTTCCAGTATTCTTTCTGGATTTTACAACCACTGGAAAAATACCAGTGCAATCCTGAAAGCAGGATTTAGGACTCCCTGTTCACTAGTGAATTCTGTTTCTTTTCTGGCCTCAGATGTCTTGCATTGTTTGTTGCTCAGTGATACAGCACCTGTGGAATCCTACATTTTCTTTTGAAGAAGTTGTGGGTTGGAACTATCTTAGGCCAAGGATAGAATTGAATCCATTCTTACATTTGCTGAGTTATTGGACAGTTAGTGGTCCAATCACTTAGCAAGTTGTTCTGGTATGTTTGGACTAATGGACTTCCTTCTTTTCATCAAATTTTGCATTGAAAACACTACACATTTTATTACTTAGTATGTCTCTGTTGACCAGGTGTATGGCATGCGTGATGCAAGGCATGAACAAAATCAAAAGTTTCTGTGCTTATAGTATTTTAAAGTCAAATAGGAAACAGAGTTTGCACAACTCTGAGGGTAGGTGAAAATAAAAGAGCTTTCTGGATGAAAATTTTGGGTTTAGTCGCCTTAATTCCAAATTACTAGTCAGCTCTGTATTGACTCTTAAGTTTCCTCAGGGTATGGAAAAGCTGAATAGGAAAATTGCAGGGCAGGATCTTGAGGGCTGGAATGCACGAACATCTGGGAGGAAGAGGGTACAATGGAGCAGTAAGCAAAAGTAAGGAGAACAAGAGTAGACACCACAGTATAGATGTGAATAGGAACAGATCTGGAGATGAGTCAAAATGTCCCCACAGGACACTTCCATTCCAAAAGCTTAAAGGGAAACTGGGAAAATTTTGGGGTTCTGGGAAAGCAGACTGTGTTATCTTCCTGAATGAGGAGAGCAATAAATGAAGAGGATGAAAACTGTGAATGCCTGTTCGCTGAATAGTAAAAAGTCAGATGAAAATAAGTTAATGTGATCTTCAGTTCAAAGAGTACATTACAAAGAATAAACTAAAGAAAGTCAAGTTAAAGCTACACTGGAAACTTTATAATTTCAGTGCCTGATTTTGCTATTCTGGCTGTGTTTCATTGTACTTATGTTGCAAATGCTGATTTGTGAATCCTGCTGACTGTGGTAATTTGTCGTGAATGAGTGACTTTACACAGTTTGATTTAGTACCAGTTTAGAATTTACTTATGACAAATTGCAGGATTTGATTGTGATATTTTAATAACACTCAATCATCAGTAGATTAACAAAATGATTAGACAAAATTAATCAAAACAGCAACCTAGTTAAAGATTCAAGGATGGCAAGGTTCATTCTACTACTACATGGAAGAAATACACAAAGGAAACTTAAGTTACACTTGAATTAGAATGATTCACAGAGAGATTGTGGATGCAGGGGATGAGAAGGACCCTCCCACTGAGTCACGAGGTTCAGAATAGACCCCCTTGTTATCTAAACTCCTTTTCAGAGAGGAGTCTAGGTGCAGCTAGGTCCAGTCTTCGTCTCTGACTTGGTCAACGGTTTATGTTTAAGGATAATATATATATCTAGCAGCAGTATAAGACTCGCCTTGTAATTAAATCATGCATCTACAGATTACTCAAATTCATTCACACATACATACACCCCCACAAAAATATGAGTATGTATATATACATATATATAAAGGGATACCTGTTAAAAATTCCCCTTGAGTTCAGTGAAATACTCATGTCTAATGTCTTGGCATTTCTCAACTGTCAAGGGTTGAGCCTCAAAGAGCAAAGGGTTTCAGCCCAGGTTCTGCTGTCAGTCTTTGGCAATGGACCTCCAATGTTAGCAAAATTTAAGAGTTTGCTAGCTCTGAGAGGTGTCCCACTCAGAGGGAGATGCTGGCCACAGCCTGCTGCAGTCCAGGAGAGCTCAAACGGCCTCACTTAGGACTGCTGTTTTATAGGATCGTGAGATGATTGGCTTTAGTCATCAGTAAATTTTCATCTGAGCCACAGACTGGGTTGGTAATCGTTGGAATTCTGGTAACGATGGTACCATGCCACTCGAGCTATGATTCAGATAAAGCATGTTTTGAGGCTATTGGGGAGGATAACTGTTCCCATTCTCACTCCCTGCCTCAGCCATGTAGGAGTTTCTGGCACAGGTAGTGCCACTCTCCACCTCAGCTATGTAGGAGCTGTGTAGGAGTTAGGCACGCCTTAATCATATCAAACTGACCAACTCGCTACACCAAGACCGCAGTCTGGCAGGAATTCCTAAGGTCATAAAGTGGTCAAAGACAGA